ACAACAGTCTTGGCTGGCTGGGCCTTGACCACCATTTCCTTGCCGAACATGATCCTCTTGCCTGCCTTGGTGGCCTTCTTCTGACGAGTCTTGATCATGCAGAGCCCTGGAAGAGTGAACTTGCCAGTCTTCTTCACTTCCCCTGCACCAATCTCTGCCAACGCGTTCAACACCTTTGTGATCTCAGCCTTCTTCAACTCGGTGGCATTGGCCAACTCACCAGTAAGACCTCCCTTGGACATAGCCTTCTGACCCTTCATGGCCTTCGTGGCAACCTTCTTGGCCTTGCTAGCCTTCATTGCCTTTGCAGGAGCCATGTCTTCGAAGGATCTACAGCAAAATGTCACAAAAGCACAGTTTGAGCCAGATCAACTTTAGAAAGAACACCAACAACTTTGGGCAAATTGTAAGTGCGATATTATATATATATATATATATTATATACATACATGAGAACTCCCGAGCGAAAGCAGTTGGGTCTCACCAAATGCCACAACACGATGATGAAAAATGCAGAACAAACGACGAACAGGAGCTCTTCTTTCTTTAGGAGGACTAGTCACAGGAACTCGTCAGAAAGGTTCAAGGCAGTCATACGTCCTTTTCAAAGGAAAACGCGGATTCTGATGCTCCTTTTTTGCAACAATTGCCTGTCATGTCGTCCAACGATAGTGTACAAAAGGCTGAGCCTCAAACAACTAGTTCAGCTCCAAACCCCCAAGGTGCCACTAGCCGTTTTTGGCTACAGCTCCATGGCCTAAACAACCATGGCCTCAGATCTGGCTTTTGAGAGCGGCCACTGGAAATGCCTTTACAACAGTCTTGGCTGGCTGGGCCTTGACCACCATTTCCTTGCCGAACATGATCCTCTTGCCTGCCTTGGTGGCCTTCTTCTGACGAGTCTTGATCATGCAGAGCCCTGGAAGAGTGAACTTGCCAGTCTTCTTCACTTCCCCTGCACCAATCTCTGCCAACGCGTTCAACACCTTTGTGATCTCAGCCTTCTTCAACTCGGTGGCATTGGCCAACTCACCAGTAAGACCTCCCTTGGACATAGCCTTCTGACCCTTCATGGCCTTCGTGGCAACCTTCTTGGCCTTGCTAGCCTTCATTGCCTTTGCAGGAGCCATGTCTTCGAAGGATCTACAGCAAAATGTCACAAAAGCACAGTTTGAGCCA